ATATAATTCAACGTATATAAAAGGTATGGGTATTTTGGGATCCATAGTTAAGTCATGGTCCTCGTTCCTGATCCCAAGCCAACAATTAAACAAGAACATGATAAGAGTCGAGCTCATGTTCCTATTATAAAGTCTTTTTCAAAAGTGTTTCTGTGAAAATTATTAGATCTTAGTTTGAGTCTGGATTCACACAAGTGTTCCTCCAATTTTCTCAAACAAGGCTCTGATACCAATTTTTAAAATCCCATTTTCACAACCAAATATTTTCATTTTATTAAGGTAAAATTTCACAATTATAAGTCCATTATTTAGAAAACCATTTATTCCAAATATATTTTTGAAATTCAAAGTAATATAAGAAACGCAGAATCCTCAATGCTAGCGATGAGTGTGTACAGTTCCGCCTTCGCCTTCCCAACATCACCGATAAAACTTGAAAAAAATAAAAAACTAGGTAAGCACAAATCTTAGTGAGTTTCCCCCAAAATACCCTATATCATAAACATACAAGCACGCATAACGACCCACAATCACCGGATTGGAATGCCCAAACCCAATCCGTCCTTAGATTGGAATGTCACATACAATGGGTCCAATCAACCATTAGGCTAGAATACCTAGGGTTTGTTGGCCTATTGCCTCAACCTAACCACTTTTCCTCAGCCTCCGTGCCTACGGGTTCCGGCCCTCATCGGGTATCTTGGCCTACAACACAAAGTAGGACCGCCTCAACCCACTACCACCATATGTCGACATATGAACAATCAAGGATCAAGTAAACACATAATACAAGAAAACAACAATCATACAACTTATTACTGCCTAATAGTCCTCTCAGAGCATATTGTCCCACTACCAGCTAACCTCCACGAAATGCGTAACCATAAGTAACTAGAAGTGAGATAGCCACCCAAACTGATGATCATACTCTATCGCCACAACCAAACAAGGAACATGTAAGGAAGCCTAGGATCAAGAGTTCTCAGGCTATCCTGCATGACTACATAAAATCCCTATGTCACTCCGCTGAATGATAACCAATCTACTAACACTCTAACGAGTATACCACTACCATAACATCCTATCTTACAACAATATATAGACATGCAGAGATCCAGAAGATCACCACAGAACAACAAAATACTATACATAAGGATACATATCCAACAATCCAACTAATGCATAACCGTATATACTCAGAGGTGAGATAGACACATGGACGGGTGATCCTACTCCAGAGCTACAACCAAACAAGGAACATGTAATAAGCCTAAATTAAGAGTCGTTAGTGTATCCTACATGACTACATATAGCCCGTAGGGTATCTATCTACTAAAATATAACCAAAACTAGTGGGTCGGCAATAGTGCCTTTGACCCACGGTACAATGAGTCAAAACTCACCTGAATCAACAAACTCTAAAACACTATGATACAATCCCTTTTCTGCACTACTTGTACCCGAAAATCCACTAACACCATAACCATATAGAATCTTAATTAATAGCCCAAAATCCACAAGTTTGACACAAAGTCAAACTTTGTCAAAAAGTCGACGGACAATAGAAGTCAACAAAAGTCAAAGTCCAAGACTGCTATGTGCACGTGTGTCCAACGTACATGTCATGTTTTCATTCCTCCATTAAGCACTTTATCCCTTAAGGTATTTTGTCTACAGCTCAGATCTAGACTCAAAACATCGACTTAAGTCATAAAGTTTCCACCTTTTTGACTTTGCATGGCTAGAAAAGGTCCAAAAGCAAAAACCCTAACATATTAAAAAAAAATGATAGACTTTAAAGAGACAATTTTTAAAAAAATGATAAACTTTAAAAAGACAATTTGTAATTTATCTTATTTTTTATCGCAATTTATAATTTTTAAGATCTTATATTCATGTATATATATATGATATCTATAATCTTTATTATACAAATTTGGTCAAATTAGCAATAACAATATATATATTTTTAAACATAAAATTGTCCATAAACATAAAGCTACTATATATTATAAAAAAAGAAACAAAATAAAAAATGAACTATAAATTGAAGTTTAGACAAAACAAATACTTCTTATTTGAAAGATAACATAATCAACTGTATAGAAAAATAAAACAAACCAATTGTAACTTTGAAAATTGAACAAACTCCATATAACTCCTCATCAAGCTGAAAATAACATCAAAAAGCCATTATTAGTGCAAATCTACAACAAAACCAAAAAATAAACATGAAACATTAGGATGCAACTGCAGAGCAAAACCAAACTCTGAAGCTTTGAGGGTTGTCATGCATTTAGTTGGCCCTTTTCGCGAAGCAAACTTTCCCCCAACATCTTTTTTTCCTTCTTCAATACTGTAAAGGAATACAAAAAGTAAAAGACCATACCTTACCTTGACATTAAATGTACTATCTTTTTACTCTTTAGCTTATAATTTCATTAGTAGTATTAATTGTATCTGTAACTGTATCCTTAGCTTAAGCTTTGAAAACTTGAATCATGATGCATTGTACTATTCATAATTCAAGGATGGCCCAAAACAGACTAAAGTTGCATTTTTATAAGAACCATATGGATACTTTTCAAAATAATTGTTAATTTAATAGCTTAATTTCTAGAATAAGGTAAATTAGTTAAAATGAATAAAAAATTTAAAAGTTGATACAATATAAAAATCTAAAATACACAATTTTCAAAAATAGCAAGAGAAAATAATGTTTCTTTCTAGGGTTTAAGGATTTGTCTTAATAAAAATAATGACCAAATTTTAATAACCAAAAGAGAACATTGCAACACTTCTTCTTGTTGAGTGTTGATAGAATGTTTAATGAACACTTATTAATTTGTTTTAGCAAAGTATCATAGCAAAAGTAATATAAAATAACCAATATACCCCTCCCCTTGACAACCAAACACAAATACAATAATACCCAAAACATAATCAATGTTTATTATAACATCTTACTTTCAGTTAATTTACTTATATAGCATCCTACTTTCAATGTTATAATGCACAAATAGATTAAATAGACATACATGAGGGTACGATCCTAAAATGCACAATAAATATAAGTATCAACTTGATGTGTACTTCCTTGCATGAGCCACCCAATATAACAAATTTGTGAAAAAAAAATCCAACAAAATATCCACAATAAATCCACAAAAAACCAAAGTTATTGCATATAATCAACCATTTGAGACCTGCAACATAATTTATATAAAACAATCTCCATAAACCCTACGACAAGATTAATAAAATAGTTTTGCTTACTTGTTGTTGCAGTGCAGTGATTAAAAAAAAACCATTTTCAGCATTTCTTTAAAATCAAGAAGATTGTCAAGTCTACATCATAAGAACACTGTTAGTAAATAATAAAAGCATAGATTTTTAGATATTAAAGATCTCTAAAACTCAAGCATCCCACATATATTTTCTACTTAAATCGTGAAACCTATACGAATATTTGAATAAACATACAACAGTACCTGAATAGCAAAGAGTGGTCACTTTTTAGAAGCTGATTTCTAGAGAGGATAAATGATTACTGAACAAAGAGCTTGGAGAAAAGTCAATAATTTTCAAAATCAAGACATTCAAACAAAAAATGAAGAGGATAAATATGGTAGAAAAAAATCTGCGGACAAATAGGCAAAAGGGTTGTGACGATTTCCATCCCCAAAAATAAATGTTCTTGTGATTGGAATCTTGAACAACAACCATTTATTAAAAAAAATTAAGGTTTCAGTAGAGCTCACCATTGACACCATGAACACATACCTACATGTATTTGTGTGTACGTGTGTGTGTTTTACGGGGTTACTATGTAAAAGAATATAAATTTACATACATTAGCCCCAACTTTAAAGAGCTCTTGTGCATAATAACGGAGAGTTACATGTGTAATTTGGTTTACCATATGCTGAAGACCAGTCTAGTCAAGTAACAAAAGTAGTGTACCTGGTGTAGCGGTATATTAAGGTTTTTGTTGTTCTCTCCGTATATATACCTCATGTATCTCTTTGTATCAATCACAATGTAGTCAATATTTGATTATATACCTCTGTGTTTATAGTGCACAAGAGATCTTCCCATGAACTGCAGCCAATATCATGCGAGTCTATCTCGCTGCCACCATCAACCAAATTACACAAAATCCATAGAAAAAGAAGAATATGAGAATTAAGAAAATCACCCAATTTCCATATGATCATGAGCCATATATACAACATATCTGATTCATGAAATTGACATAAAAAATAACTAAAATTCAAATAGACTATTGAAACACACCTATATATACACGAAATTGGGATTGACAAACTGATCGTCCAAAAGCATAGAGATAATCTGAAAAAAAATCCACACATTGTATGAAACATTCAACAAATCCATCAAAGCAAAACAAAAAATAAAATAAGAACATAAAGAAACTCTTGAATAACCAACCTTGATCTGGTTTATACCGTAAGATGTATGGTGACGATGGGGGGGGGGGGTCACTTTAGGGTTAGGGTTTCCGGTGTGCGATGGTGGAGTTGATGGTGACAGTGAGATAGAGTTAGGGTTTCTCATCTCGACATATGGTAGAAGTGGGCGGCAGATACCAGTGAAGGTAACGACAACGTCAGAAGGTTGGTGGTAACTGAGGCTACCATAGATTGAAGAGCTTAGAGAGGGAGACGGAAGAGATCTGGAAGATATTAGGGTTTTCCAACATCTAGGTATAGGAGAAACTATAAGTTATGATGATACACATGTGTATATGCTTTCATTGTAAGCTTAAAAGGAGTGTACGTGGTGTTATAAGAGTTATACCTCTTAATTTTCAATAAATAGGCAATATGTTTAATAATATAGTAAAAATATTGATTTATTTAATGGTTTTTTCTTTGTAGTTGGTGTACATGTATAACATAAAGTATTCTATAAAGTTAGATAAAAGGCTTCCTTTTATTGGGCATATAACTGGTGCTAATTTATTAGAGATTCAACGCATGGAATCCAGTTTGGGAGGGTTCGGAAGGCAATTTCGGGATGAGCATGACGATGTCGATATGAATGATGAAACAGGAGGTGAAGTGCAACAATTGGTCAGTTTTAAGAGAGATTTTAGAGATGAGGAGGTAATGTTACATTTTGTTTGCATACATAGTTAGTTTGTAATTATTTAAATTAACATTTGAATTTAAACTCTAGTAGATTATAAAGTAAATATTCTCATATTAAAGTTGTTGAACTATTCTGGTAATGTAATTAATAATTAATTATATGTATTGCAGGCGTATACTGCTATTTTAGAGCAAAGTTATGGGTTAATTCTAAGAGAAAAAAGTACTATGGAGGTTGCTTTGAAGGATGGTTTGGAAAAGTTCCTTAATAGTGTGGTGTTGAAAGAGTGGATGGAAAAGATGAATGAGCTTTTTAGGGAAGTGCATGAAGGCGCAAACAACAAAAAAGTGAATGAGCCGGAGGGTTATAATGAGTTAAATATGAATGATATGGTTGATGGCTATGGAGGAAACAGTTCACTTGTTAGAGGATTGGTAATTAATGAAGTTAATGTAGAGAAAGATGTAAATTATAATACACATACCAATGCTTTAACAATGAGCCAGTTTCATCGACTTTCGGGGGTGAATGATGAAATGATTAAGTTGTTGGAAGAAACTGAGTTACAGGTGCATAGAAGGAAACAGCTAACGTCGGGATTCAGTGGGGATTATGTGGTTGAAAGAAATTTAGGAGAAGTTGTTGATAATGCTGCAAAAGATGTTGATAATGACAAAAGGGAAAAATGTATCCCTAAAAAGGCAAAAATATTTCATTCCCAGTATATTAAAATAATTTTTAAGGTTGGGGATAAATTGACTAAGGATGAAACAGAAATATGCAATTTAGTTTTTGCATCTAATAGAGGTGATTGGTAAGTATATATGAGTCATTTATTATTTTTTTAGAATATAAATGTAAATATATGTAGATTTATTTTATATATAATTTGTGGTAAATAGATGACATTTGGGACATTGGAATAGGTCATTTGTGGCACCAGGGTTTTGCTTTTCAATTTACTCAAGGAATGTTTATACATTCTAAAGTAATTGACTGTTGGGCTGGGTTTTTAAATAAAATGGAGAACTACAATGATGAATCATCGCTGTCAAGATTTTTCTTCGATACAACTATTGTGGTTTGAATTTTTTATGTAAACTAAGTTTAGATTCTAATTTATTTTTTTAGAATTAATATTGTTGATGATGTGAGTTTTTACAAACAGAAGAGATATTGAATGAATTAAATACGGAAGATCTGAAATGTAGGCTTTTTGATACTCTGTTGCGAATCTACATTAAGAAATTTGATGGCAAGCCAAGTTTCAGAGATGTTGCGCTTGTAAGTATATTGAGTGAATGTATTAATTGTTGAATCACTCAATATTAAATTAACTTTGTTTTTTAATATACACACGGTTTTCTTCCCAATAGCTGATGATGAAAATATTACTTACTGATCTTTGATCTGAGATCAAGTTCATACTACATAGTGGATCATGTGAAAAGAACAGGAACTTTGGATAGGAAATATGGCATGATACCAAAATTGGTGGTAACATACTGAATAATATTCTGAACATTCAGTTTTCATTCTAAAGATTGTTTAAAAACTATGTTTGATGTATTTGTTGTATTCAGTGATAGAAAAAACTATTCTGCAACTACTTAACATCACAACATCATCCAATGGCAAAAGCCTTAAGTTTTAAGGCGGTGCGGGTGATGAACATATCTTGGCAAGTAGAAAAATTTGGAACAGATTGGGGAATCTACCTAATGAGGCATATGGAAAGTTACATGGGAAAAAATGAAGTGCGTTGGGAGTGTGGGCTTACAGGTAAAATGTCGGGTGATGTGACTGCTATACTTAAGTTAAGAACGAAATTGATGAGAATTAAACTCTAGATCGACTAGATCTTTCACAGGTATGATTATGAAAATCAAAAAAGACAAATACAGTAAATGAATGAACACATAATAGAATCAAATGTATGCTTATGATTCAATAGAGTCACGCCTCAGCAAAGCTCGATGAAGAAATTCCGTTGTAGAGGCGAGCTAGGGTTTACAAAACTTAAAGAGAAAAATTATGAAAGCGTTAACTACATAGACTGCATGCATGCATCTTATATACTAAACCTAGAACAAAATATGCACGGTTGGATAGGCCCAATACTGACAATCAAAACTGGGCTAAGGATCGAGCCCATGACACAATCTAATAATCCCAACAATCTCCCCCTTTGCATCAAATGAGGTGAGAGATTATTTCTTCTGTGTTCGCTTCACGGTCTTTATTACTTGGAACAGCCAAGGGATTATTGCAAGAAGTGTCTGCCGAAACTAGATATACCATCTCAGCATATCAGTGAACAACTTCTTGTCAGCTGCACTGTTCTGATCACACCTCTGAATAATCTCCAAGATATTCTCCAGGCACGATGTTGAGAAGAGGTGTTTATCAACGAGAGCGAACAGACATTTCTGACCTTCGCCCCTGAGGAACATAACAGTTTGGTAATTCGTATCAATCTTCCCCTTGACCATAGTGTTGACATTGCCTGCTTTGCCCAAAGCCTTGATCGTCGTTCACTTGTGAATGGCAGATGCAATCTCCTGGTCCATCTTCGCTACCTCGTGAATGTAGCACACAAGCATTCGCTTGACATGGTCAATTATTAGATGGTACTCCTATGGATTTGACAGTAGAATATTATTGAGGAGTATCCAGTCATGGGGATTAAGGTTTGGTAGATCAGCAAGGGTGATGTTGTGAACCGAGCCTTCGGTGCCTCGAGTCACTTTAAATTGAATGTTAACAAACTTCCCCGCTGAGTAGGGCTTCAAAACCTTGATAGTAGTAATCTTCTTCAAACTCCAGGTCAAGTACTGGGGTTGAGCAAACTCCATGTAGAACTCCAGCAGATCCCTATCTACCTTCGGGTTTGGGGAAGGAATAGCAGTAGTCGAATTGAAGCAATGGAAGATAAATGCCTTTCGTGTTATTGGGATGTCGAATTGTGCGTCCTTGGAGTTCTCGAGCCCAAATGACATTACTGGCTCAAGCCAAAGTATGCTTGGATCATCGATTGCGCATCTCTGAAGTGAAACTATAGTCCAGACAGGAAACATGGATTTTTCTTCTCTAGGAGCTTCGTCTCCTTTCTCTTTTGCTTAAGCTCAGCCTGTTGTTTCTTGAGTTTTTCTTCCAGCTCTTTTTCAGAGAGCTTTACCTTCTGAAAAGGATTTTTAAGATTCTCAGCATAGACGTCATCCTCATCATCTGTGTCATCTTCTCCAATCTTCTTCATCTTTTTCCCTTTGTTACTGACCGAAGCTTCATTACCCTTCAGTTCAGTAGATGGTTTCGGTCCAGGAGGAGGTCGAGTTTGCTTTTCTCCCCCTTGTTTTGGCTGGACACCAGTCAACGGAACACCCTCGATATGAATAAGGATGTCTAATGTTGGCCTAATTTTATCAGTCAGATGCTGTCTGGCTATAATGGTGATGATTGGATCGTGCGCTTCAAGGAGATGAAGGAGGATGGAGTGAACATCAGCCACATAACTCCGAATGACCTCCTTTTCCGACTTCAGATCACTGAGCTCAGCAGTAGCAGTACGTAGCTTGTAATTTTGCATTTTCATCTGTGAGGTTCTCCTGTCTAGTTCATCCATGATACGATTCTCTACAACTAATTTGGCCTCAAGTTGAGTAAGACGATCATTAACATTGGCATGTAGAGACGCGTTTGCAACTTCAATCGCTTGGTGTGTAACTTCAAGTTTGGATCTTTCAGACTGAAGGGACCGTTGAAGATTATCCACCGAAGCGTTGACGGTTTGAGCATTCTTCTTAGCAGCAGCCTGCAAGGAATCTAAAAAAGTTAAGCTTCAGAAACTAGTTTATCGACTTTTGCGGTCGCTTCCTTGCACTCCTTAGTAGAGGCATCAACAACAAGTGAGGCTTGTTGACACTGTGAAGTAGAGGCTTGGTTTTAGAAAAATTCATAATAGATCACTCAAAAATAAAAAGAGATTTCATTAGGTAACAAGTAAGCTCGTGAATATGAGAATTCACCATCAATTCATTTATGGTGTTGAATTATGGGTTTCACTTAGTACATAGTGGCATGAGACTAAGATCATTAACACAAATTTTGTATAACCATAAACCTCAGTGGTAAATGCTGAGAGTCTCAGGGGTTATATTGGTGATACGAAGTATAATGGAGAAAAATAGTGGAGATTGTATAGGAAGCGAATGTACCTTTGCTCTAAAGAAAAAGAGTGACCAAGCAGAAAACTCTGAACTCAATGTGAGTAGAGTAAGGTAGCTCATGATTATAGTGAATAGTACAGCCTGAATTGGGAAAACATGATTTGTATATTTCATGCAATTAAGGCTTTACTTAAAATCTTTCGAGACTTTAGTCAACATACAATAGCATGCTTGTAGGTACACCTAACTAATGGGATAAAATAAAATAGATATACCTGCTTAAGCTCCACCATCGAGAATTACACTTATACAAAGAAAAGTATTAGATTAAAAAAATCAAAATCAAAATCAAAATAAAAATAAGATAAAAAAATAAAAAATATTTTTGTATTTTGTGAAAGTTATTTAATTGAACGAAAGAGAAAAATATTTTTGGTTTTTATGAATAAAATGGAATTAAAAGGAGTGTACAGACGAATACAGCCAAAATGCCTTGGAAGCAAAAAGAAGTGAATAAGTTCAGAAGGACCGAACCCGAAATAGACCAAACATTCGGTTCATTTCGGTTCTTGGTCGAGCCGAACCCGAAATAGACCGAACGTTCGGTTCATTTTGGTTCGCTCTATTTCGCTTCTAACCTTTATTGAAGTGAAGGCGATTTGTGTTGGATAAGGTGTCTAAGTCCATAACTTATTTGGTATATACTTGACCCGACCCGGCATGGTCCATTTGGGTTGCATCTCATCCAAACTATTTATGGATAATTTTATGAGAGTTATACACATATGTTTATTAATATATTATAAGTTATAATATATTAATATGAGATTATGTTATTTAATTAGTTTTAGTCTTAAATTAATTATGAATTAATTTAGAGATTAAAAGGAAGACTAATTAGATTATGGGCTATTGGTTTTATATAGTGTGGGCTAATACTCATTTGTTAATGATGGGTTTTAGCCATAAGAACTTTCCTATGTGCGCATGCAAAACCCTAATGCTCGGATCTAGGCTTTCTAATTAAACATGCTTTGAATCCAAGACTTCTAATGGCTAACTAGGTTAAATAACAACATTGAAATAGATCTAGAATCATACCTTTGGATTCCTTGTTGATCTTGTTGTCTTGGAGCTTCTAGAGTCACAAATGTCACTCCTCTAATGGCTTACAAACACTAATAGCAAGTAAGATGATTTAGGAGAGAGGAGAGGGAGGAATTCGGCCAGAGTATCTCTACTTTAGATGTGTGTCGAATTCCCTCACCCCTAGGGTCTATTTATACTTGTAGACTCCTTAAGGATTACAGCTTTAACCCTAATTGGATAACTTAGACTTTAAGTTGATCCATATCCTTTCCTTGATAACCCTATGGACGATTTTGGCTTATCCAAGCCCTAGAAATCGTCCATCCTATCATGGATAAGGATTTATAGTCTAAAGTGTAACTATCAAACAATTGACAGTTTATACCCTCTTATTTAATTAATCTCTTTAAGTCACCAAATTAATTCCAATTAATCTATGACTTATATTAATCAAATAACCATATATTATTCCTTATAATATTTACTCTCTCTTAACAAATCATCCATCAAGTTGCTATGGTGAAGGCAACCCAAAAGGACCATGCACAACCGGATCAAATACT